CAAGAACCTAACCGTATACCAAATAAATAACATAAGCACACTGGATAGGAGAAAAGAAAAAGAAAAATGAATCCAAATAATTTCTAAACAGAGTACTTTGATTACATATCATCAGTATAAAAGACATGCAAACAAATCATATACTGTACTCAGTAGGTTAGTTTTTCACATGTGTGGATACAGGAATTCTGATTCTACTTTCAATGTATTGTAAAACTGAGCAAATGAGTCAATATATTGATGCTAGCAGCCAGTGCTCTCACTCTTGGAAAAGGGAGATACAAATACAGAATGAGAGAAAACTAGGAAGATTCCTAGGATACTGTATGAATTCAAGGTGTGTGTGTATGTATATGTGTGTGAATACATATATATATACACATAGATACATAGACATATAAATAGTCACATATACAAACACAAAGCTCTGTTCACTGAAAAGGCCTACAAGTAATAACACACCAGTAGTGATGAGCACACCTAACACACAGATTTTGGTTTCAACACATCATTATCCACTAATAGGAACCAGTGCTCCTTGGACAAATGGCTGATTCCAGGCCTGGGTCAGGGAAAGTAAAAGAAGAAGGCTAGAACATCTTATTGCATCAGACAGTAAACAAGTGGTAAAAAAAATTATAGGGATGTGTCAAAAGGACAAAAAAACAAACAAACAAACAAAAAAAACAGCTTAAAAGGGCTCCCACTGGCCAACTCAGGGAGAACTAAGCTTCAAAATAAACAATGATGGTAATGGAGTATAATCCACTTAATAAAATAAGAACCCATAAGAACAAAAAATTTTATATTACTGATGTAAGTAATAAATGAAGGAGACGAGGAAGACTCATCTTCTAACCCTATCACCTTGGACATGAGAATTTTGGGAAACAAACATTCAGGCCATAGCAAAGGTCAACAAACAAAAATCAATCATATTTCTATCTACTAGCAATAAATATTGGAAATTGAAATTTAAAAATCAAAACCACTTACAATAGCTTAGAAAAGGAAATGAATGAAACATGTATAGGTCTAACAAAACATGTTGTTATGAACTGAATTGTGCCCCCCTCAATTCATATGTTGAAGCTATAACCCCCAATGTGAACTTATTTGAAGATAGGGCCTGTAAGAAGGTAATTAAGGTTAAATGAGGTCATAAGAGTGGGGCCCTAATCCGATAGGACTGGTGTCCTTAAAAGAAAAGGAAAAGACACCAGAGCTCCTTATCTCTCTCTGCACAAGTACAGAGGAAAGGCCATGTGAGGACATAATGAGAAGGTGGCTATCAACAAGCCAGGAAGAGAGGTCTCACCAGAAACCAACTCTGACAGCACCTTGATCTGGGACTTCTAGTTTCCAGAACTGTGAGAAAATAAATTTCCATAGCATTTTCTTATGGCAGCTCGAGCAGACTAATATACATGTAAAGGATCTGGATGTTGAAAATTACAAAATATTGATGAAATAAATCACAGAAGATCTAAATAAATGGAGACATACCATGTTCACAGATTGGAAGACACAACATAAGATAGATATCAATTCTCCCCAAGTTGATCCACAAGTTTAACTCAATTCCTATCAAAATCCTAGCAAGATAATTTTTAGATATATAACAAGCTTATTCTAAAATTTTTATAGAAAGACAAAGGCAAAGGAACAAGAATAGCCAAACAATTTTGAAAAAGTAGAATCAAGCTAGAGAAATCATACTACTTTAAGACTTAATATAAAGCTGCAGTTAATGAAGACAGTATGGTATTGGCAGAGAAATAGATACACAGATCAATAGAACAGAATATAGTCCAGAAATAGGCCCCACAAATATGGCCAACTGATATTTGACAAAACTATAAAAGCAATTCAATAGAGAAAAATGGTCCTTTCAACAAATGGGGTTAGAACAAATGGAAATCCAAATGCAAAATAATGAATCTTGACTTAACCCTCACACCTTATATAAAAATTAATGCAAAATAGATCATAGGGCTAAATGAAAAATGTAAAACTATAAAACTTATAGAATAGGAAAAATCTTCATGACCTAGGGTTCAGCAAAGAGTTCTTACACATGACACCAAAAGCACATCCATAAACAAAATAATTTCAAGATTTAAAATTCTTGCTCTGTGAACAACATTGTTAAGAGAATGAAAACACAAGCCACACACATGGAGAAAATATTTATAAGCCACATATCTGACAAAGCACTTGTATACAGAATATATAAAGAACTCTCAAAACTGAAAAAAGTGAAGGGATTGAGAAGTATACACTGGTAGTTACAAAACGGACATGGGGGTGTAAAGTACAACATAGGAAATATAGTCAATAATATTGTAATAACGATGCATGGTGCCAGGTGGATACTGGAAATATCAGGGGGAACACTCTGTAAAGCAAATGCTTGTCTAATAACTATGTTGTATACCTGAAACTAATATAAAATAATATTGAATGTAAACTGTAATTGAAAAATTTTTTAAACTAGATAATGAGAAAACAATCCAATTTAAAAATAGGCAGAAGACTTGACTGAACAGACACTTCACCAAAGAGGATATACAAAAAGTAAATAAGCATATACAAAGATATTCAACTTCATCAGCCATTAGGAAAATGCAAATTAAAACCATGATAAGATACCACTATGCAGCTAGAATGACTAAAATTTAAAATACTGACAATACCAAGTGCTGACAAAAATGTGAAGCAACTGGAATTCTTATACATTGCTGGTGAAAATGAACAATTCAACCATTCTGGAGAACAATTTGGCAGATTCTTAAAAAGTTAAACATACATTTACTATATGACCCAGCAATCCAATATTTACTGTAGAGAAATGAAAACAGATGTTCACACCAAAACCTGTTATAAATGTTTAAAGCAGCTGCTCCACTAATTGCCAAAAACTGTAAATAATTTAAATGTCTTTCAATAGGAGAAGGGATAAGTAAGCTGTGGTACATCTATAGCACAGAATACCACTCAGCAATAAAAGGGAAAGAACTACTGACACACACACACAACTTGGCTGAATCTCCAGGGAATTATACTATGTGAAAAAATCCAATCTCAAGAGGTCACATACTATATGATTCAATTTATATCATTTTCTTGAAATGACAAAATTCTAGAAATGGAGAATAGATCAATAATTGCTAGGAGTCTAGGAATGGGGTCGGGGGGAAGATGTGGTTATAAAAGGGCAACATAAGGGATCCTTGCATTGATGGAACTATGTCTTGACCATATCAATGTCAATATCTTGTTTGTGACATTGTACTATAGTTTTGTGAGATGTTAACATTGGGAGAAACTGGGCAAAGAATACAAGGGATTTCTTTGTATTATTTTTACAATTGCATATCAATCATTTATCTCAAAAGACAGCTTTTTTTAAAAAAAAGGTTACATATCATATGATTCCATTTATATGACATTCTTGAAAAGGTAAAACCATAGCGACACAGAACAGATCTGCCATTGCCTGAGGTTACAGTTGGGTAGCATGAGACAGTTTTTTTGGTGTGATGAAACTACTCTGTACCCTATAGATTAGTTAAACCAGTTTATACATGTGTTAACATTTCTTGAATTGGACAACAACAAAATCAATTTTACTGTACACTAAATTAAAAAATAAAAATTTTTATTGAATTCACTGGGGTGACATTGGTTAATAAAATTATATAGGTTTCAAGTGTACAATTCTATAATACATCATCGGTATACTGTATTGGGTGTTCACCACCCAAAGTCAAGTCGCCTGTCACCATTTATCCCCTATTTACCCTCTTCTACCTCCCCCCACTCCCCTTCCCCTATGGTAATCACCATATTGCTGTATGTGTCTGAGGTTTTTTTTCTTAATCTCTTCACCTTTTCACCCAGCCCCTCAATCCCTCTCCCCACTGAAAGCTGTGAGTCTGTTCTCTGTATCTATGAATCTGTTTCTATTTTGTTTGTTTAAAAAATTAAAGTGAAAGAGAAAAGGTGGTGGGCTATGGGTGTCTGCAGTTGTCTCTTAGCAAAATGAGAATCAAAATTCCAACTGAGAAAATTACTTCCGGAAAAATATGAAAGACAAACACTGCCCTAAGATATTTCATTTCCAAATTACTTTTTTTTTTAATTTTTTTTAAACATATCTTTATTGATTTCAGAGAGAGGAAAGGAAGCGGAGAGAGAGAGATAGAAACATCAATGATGAGAGAGTCATTGATTGGCTGCCTAGCCCACAACCCGGGCATGTGCCCTGACCGGGAATCAAACCCTGATCTCCTGGATTCTGGGTCTATGCTCAACCGCTTGAGCCACACCCCGCCGAGCTCCAAATTACATTTTGATATTAGATCTCTACCTCACTGAGGAATGCTGTAGAAATATCTGTAGAAACCAAGGACTGCATTTTCCACCAGGCTTTGGTTGAAGACAATTCCATCATCCACAGGCCAACCCAGCAAAGAAATGCCTTGCCCAGAGAGTGTGGCTCAGTGGTAGAGCGTTGACCCATGAACCAAAGGTAATGGTTTGCTTGGGTTTGATTCCCCGTTAGGCCCCAGTTGCTGGCTCAATCCTCTGTTGGGGGCCTGCAGGAGGCAACTGATCAATGATTCTCTCTTATCATTGATGTTTCTTTCTCTCTCTCCCTCTCCCTTCTTCTCTCTGAAACCAATAAAAACATTTTTAAAAAATGAAAGAAATGCCTTGAAACGCTGAGGACTTGCTGTTCTCTCCCTATTATGAACCAGGTGAGCCAGGTTACTGGTTACATTTCCTTCCCTATGGCTGCCAAAGGCTCAAAGATAAATTTGCAATTCATCTTTAGTATCTGATACACCCTAAGTCTTCCACATATCTACATTGGCCTTGCTGCTGCCTTTCATTTTCCCTCATCCTAATGCTTATTTACAAATAATTTCCTATTTTATGTCAGAGATTCCTACATCACATCCATGTCAAAACAGGAAGGAACAGACAAGTCTTACCTGGGTTTCCACCATTTCCTGCTCTTCTTGGGAAAAGGCAGATGTGTGAGCTGGAAGAGCAGAGAAGTGTAGAGCATATGAGAGACTACATCAGGCCTCCAGTGCCCAAAATTATCTGCCTAGCTATCCCCTCACACCAGCTAGACATGAGGCCACTCTGTGGAAGTTTGGGGAACCATGCGGTTTTAACAACCACCTGTGTATTCTCCCCTCTGTTCCTCATGTGAACATTTAACACAAAAGGTTTTTTCTATACATACTTATGTACTGACCCAGAAATTGAATTTCTAAGTATTTTCCTTAATGCAATAATGTAACATAATGTCTCTGTAAGTACCTTCATTTCAGCAATGACTTCAACAATGCCAAATTTAAACAATCCTATATGATCCGTAATACGGGACTGATAAGGAAATACAAGAGATGAAACGCTATGTAGCTATTAAAAATAATGTATGGAACTGTATACTTATTACCTGTGTACTTCTTATTGAGGCAACATTGGTTTATCACATTATATAAATTTCAGGTGTGCAACATTATAATTTGACAACTATATAATACATAACATTCACCTGTGTACTTCTCTGAACATATATCTAAAAAAGAAAAGTAGGTTATAAAGCTGCAGGAACCCATTTTAAAACTGTTTAAAAATGCATAGGCCTTATACACGTTAAAAAATGCCTAAGAATAGACATGTAAATCTAGGGACGTAAAATTCGCTTTTCTTTTTCTCTATTTTCTAATCTAGAATTCAAATGTGATACTTAACTGTTAATAGCCAAGAAAACAACTTTTTAAAACATTACCCCAGGACATTAGCCCCATCCTCCCTGAGACACCTCCCCCCCACCCCCCACCCTAACCCCATGCACCCCATGCCTCAGGCTCTGAGCGGACCCTTAGGCAGATGAGTAGTCTCAGATGCCTTCTTCCTTCTTCTCACCTCACTGGGGTCTCACTCTGCCCAGAAGCCAGAAGGAAGCCTTCAGATGCAGATTCACTTCAGCTGGAACATTGGCACCAGGCCCCTACCTCGGAGCTTAGGCGAGGGGAGAGGGGCAGAGGGAAACGGGGCACGCCTAAGGAGGGGCCTAAGGGGTGCTAGGAACCCTTAGCGCAGGTCACTGTGCTGGAAAATGTGTAAAAGTCAACGTTTAATAAGCTCCATTCAACCCTGACTAGCCGCATAACTTCGCCCACCATTGGGCCCAAAGGCACATTCACTGACCTCTCGGTCCTCTATCATTCACCCCACAACCCCCTACTTTAATGACCCTCACAAGCCCCCCTTTACTCGTCTCCCAGAACTCCCCATCACTCAGCCCATCACCCCTAAGCACCCCTCGCCCCCTCAACCTCTCTCTTTCTTTCTCTCTTTTTCTCTCTCCCTCTCTCTTTCTCTCTCGACAACAGATTTTCTGTTTGCTGCAGAGGAGACCGTTACAAGAACTACCCCAAGAAACACTTCCGCTTCGGGACTAACTCGGGTTCGACAGCCTACAGTGCTGCAGGGGCCAAGCGTGCGCACGCTCAGTTGGAGCTTGGAGCCTGTGTCCGCCAATAGTCAACAAGCGCCTCCCTCCCGCCTTCCAAAGCGACGGGGCTGCTGCGCAGGCGCAGAGGAAAGATGGCCGCGCTGGTGACGTCACTCCAAGGGTATGGCTACGCCCACCGCATCTCTTCTCCTGGAGGGTGGCTGCATCGAGCTTGTGTTTACTTTGTTCTGCGGAGGCCGCCATTCCTAAAACTACCAAGACCAATTTTCTTATGGCGGAGAGGGGAAGTCCCCAATATGAAAGCTCTAGCAGGCAGGTTTTTGGTGTCTTGAACTTGGAGGGCAGCGTCGGGTTTGCAGGAGTAATAAAACAGTAAGTCAAAGCCGAGTTGCTTGGCGTGCAGAAAGCTGGCTCCATCCAGTGGCTAAGGCCGAGTTGACAGCCAAGCTTTTAAAGGCAAATAAGAAGCTGAAGAATAAATCAACGGAGACCTAACAAACACACACCGAATGGAAGGGAATGTGCTAAGTAGAGGCCGACAAGTTGCTTCCTCTGGATAGGCAGCTACTATCTCCTTTCATGGGCATGACAGTTACACAGTACAAAAGGAACTGGTCACACAAATATCTGAAGCAAAAGAGCTTTCTGATGAAGGGCAAGAATGTGTAAAGCCCTGAAGTAGGACCCAGTTTGGCATCTAGGAGGAACAGAAATAGTGTCATTGTGATAGGGGCACTTATAATGTCCAAAGACTGAGCACCTGAATTAATCTGAAATATAGTTATATTACTTACAAAATTGTAGAACACATATACTTAAGTGATCAGGGATTTAAGTTTCTTTTTTCCTTAAGTTTCTTTCTCCTAGGCCTTTTCATCCGTATACTGCCCTTGATCTTGGATGAAGCAATTAAGGAAGTGACGCAACTGTGAACAATGAGTCAAGATATCATCTTATCAGGACAACCAATAGGAATGGTCAGGCTGACCCAACAATGAGTCAAGATATCGCCTCATCAAGACATCGCCAGATGACCAAGAACAAGAGAATGACGTCTGCAGACTTCCAGGACTGCACATAGCTGCATTCCATTCCTAGCCTCAGTTTGCCCCATTTCCCTATATAACCCTATCCCTCAGGTCACTCCTTAAGATAGGTTTTGCATGCTCCATGCTCCCTGTCTCCTTGGTTGGCTGGCCTTCTCAATAAACATCTTATGTAATTCAACCCTGCTTCCATTGAATTGGTCACAGCTACAGGCAGCCGGAACCCCACCGGGGTTTCCCAGTAAGAATTGTATTAGGAGTGTAGGAGTTGTGGGCAAAGGAGAGGTAAGTGGGGACGAGATGCAGTAGGGCCGCCTCTGCCAGGAACAGAGCTCATGTTTCATTCTGGATATAATGGGAAGCCAAAAGAGGGATCAGATTTTTTAAAAGACCAGTCTGAAATGATCTAGCAGTTTTTAAATTCTTTTTTTTTTAATGTATCTTAATCATTGAAAATATTACAGATATCTCCTTTTCTCCCCCCTCCATTTACCCCCTCCACTCCGCCTCCCTCCCCAGGACTTCACTGCAATTATGTATATATGCATATAAGTTCCTTGTTAATCTCGTCTCATTCCCCCCTTCCCTCTGAAATACCTCAAGTCTGTTACATGTTTCAATGTCTCTAAGTCAGTTTTGTTCAGTTTATTTTGCTCATTAGATTCTACATATGAGTGAGATCATGTGATACTTGTCTTTCTCTGACTGCCTTATTTCACTTAGCATAATACTCTCCAGGTCCCTCCATACTGTCTCAAAAGGTAAGAGATTCTTCTTTTTTACAGCTGCATAGTACTCCATCCTATAAATGTACCACAGCTTTTTTATCCACACATCTACTGATGGGCACTTGGGCTGTTTCCAGATCTTAGCTATTGTAAGTAAGGCTGCTATGAGCATAAGGGTGCATATATTCTTTCTGATTGGTGTTTTAGGATTGTTAGGATATATTCCTAGAAGTGGGATTACTGGGTCAAATGGCAGTTCCATTTTTAATTTTTTGAGGAAACTCTGTACTATTTCCCATAGAGGTTGTACCAGTCTGGATTCTCACCAACTGTACAAGGGTTCCTTTTTCTGCATATCCTCACCAGCACTTGATGTTTATTGATTTATTGATGATTGCCATTCTGCAGGTGTGAGGTGGTACCTCATTGTCATTTTAATTGGTAGCTTTCTGATGATTAGGGATGCTGAGCATTTTTTCATGTGTCTCTTGGCTATTTGTATGTCCTCTTTGGAGAAGTGTCTATTCAGGTCTTCTGCACATTTTTAAATCAGCTTGTTTATATTCCTTTTGTTGAGTTATATGAGTATTTTATATATTTTGGAAATTAACCCCTTATCAGATGTATTATTGGCAAATATGTTCTGCCATGTAGTGGGTTCCCTTTTCATTTTGATGCTGCTTTCTGTGCAGAAGCTTTTTAGTTTGATATAATCCTGTTTGTTTATTTTTTCCTTTGTTTCTCTTGCCCTAGGTGATGTATCTGTGAAAATTCTGCTATGTGAGATGTCTGCTATTTTGCTGCCTACATTTTCTTCTAGAATTTTTATGATTTCATGACTTACATTTAAGTCTTTTATCCATTTTGAGTTTATTCTTGTCTATGGTGTCAGTTGGTGGTCTAGCTTCATTTTTTTTGCATGTACCTGTCCAATTTTCTCAACACCATTTATTGAATAAACTGTCTTTACTCCATTGTACGTTCTTGCCTCCATCATCAAATATTAACTGATCATAATGGCTTGGGTAGATTTCCTGGTTCTCTGTTCTGTTCCATTGATCTATATGCCTGTTCTTCTACCAGAACCAGGCTGTTTTGATTACAGTGACTTTGTAGTATAACTTGATATCTGGTATTGTGATCCCTCCAACTTGTTCTTCTTCCTCAAGATTGCTGCAACTATTTGGGATCTTTTTTGGTTAGATATAAATTTTTGGAGTGTTTTTTCTAGATCTGTGAAATACGCCATTAGTATTTTAATAGGTATTGATTGCATTGAATCTATAGATTGCTTTGGGAAGTATGGACATTTTAATGGTGTTGATTCTGCAAATCCACGAACATGGTATATATTCTTCTACTTGTTTGTATCTTCTATCTCATTTTTCAACATCCTGTAGTTTTCACAATAGAGGTCTTTTGCGTCCTTGGTTAAGTTTATTCCCAAGTATCTTAATTTTTTCATTGCAATGGTAAATGGAATTGTTTTTTCAGTTTCTATTTCTGAGAGATCATTATTGGTATATAAAAATGTCATCCATTTCTGGGTATTAATTTTGTATCCTGTTACCTTGCCAAATTCATTTATTGAATCTAGTAGTTTTTTGGTGGAGCCTTTAGGATTTTCTGTGTACAATATCATGTCATCTGCGAATAATGACAGTTTTACTTCCTCCTTTCCAATTTGGATGCGTTTTATTGTTTCTTCCTGTCTGATTGCTCTGGCTAAGACTTCCAGTACTTTGTTGAATAAGAGTGGTGAAAGCAGACATCCCTGTCTTGTTCCTGTTCTTAGGGGGAATGGTTTTAGTTTTTCCCCATTGAGTATGATGTTGGCTGTAGGTTTGTCATATGTGGCCTTTAGTATGTTGTGGTATGTTCCCTCTATTCCCACTTTGCTGAGAGTTTTTATCAAAAATGGGTGTTGGATTTTCTGGAATGCTTTTTCTGTGTCTATTGATAAGATTATGTGATTTTTTTTGTCCTTCAATCTGTATATGTGATGTATCACATTTATTGATTTGCGAATACTGTACCAGCCTTGCATCCCTGGAATAAATCCGACTTTGTCATGGTGTATGATCTTATTAATAGGTTGCTGGATCCGATTTATTAATATTTTATTGAGGATTTTATCATCTATGTTCATCAGGGATATTGGCCTGTAATACCTTTTTTGTAGTGTCTTTATCTCGTTTTGGGATTAGGATAATGCTGGCCTCATAAAAAGAGCTTGGAAGTCTTCCTTTCTCTCAGATTTTTTTTGAAATAGTTTGAGGAGAATAGGTGTTAGTTCTTTGAATATTTGGTAAAACTCCCCTGTGAAGCTGTTGGGTCAGGGCTTTTGTGTGCTGGGAGTTTTGTAATTACTGCTTCAATTTCATCAGTTGTTATTGTTCTATTTCGTTTTTCTCATTCTTCCTGATTCCATTTTGGAACATTGTAGCTTCCTAGGAATTTGTCCATTTCTTCCAGGTTGTCCACTTTGTTGGCATATAGCTGCTCATAGTGTTTTCTTATAATCCTTTGTATTTCTGTGGCATCAGTTGTTAC